GGTCCCGGGCAGGGGACGAGCAGTCGACACGAGGGGGCTGCGCTCTTCCCCATGACGCTGGGAGAGCCCAGGCCAGCTGAGCTACCTCCAGGCTTTGTGCTGGGAGCGAAGGGGGGAAAGCGCGGCGGAGAGCGGAGCGACCCAGAACACAGTCGGGACTGGCCTCATCCGCTGGCCTGTAACTAGTCATGGGTTTGGCAGCTACTTCCTAAAGCTGTAAAACATGCAGTACGTGGATTTTTCCAAAACAGCCTCTGCCTCCAACATTCCTCGTCGGCTCCCCCTCCTTTCTCCTGCTCCTTCCCCTACCATCCTACCCGACGTAACATCTCTCAACAGACGAGGTTAATACTCGCTACCCGTTGCTAATCCTCCCGGAAGAGGAGTCAGACATTAAAAACGAACAAACAAACAAAAGACTTTTCATCCTAGCGCATAGCGTTTTACTAAAAGAGACTAGCAACACCACCTCTTATTAAAGTCGGAGAGTGCTCGCGACAGGGCCGTGCTTTCAAAGTAGTTTTTTTACCTTGCGCATCTTCAGTGGCACAGGCTGAAGTTTCCTGCGTGGAACATCTACTTTGCGCTGAATTTCCAGAGGAAAGTTATAACAGGCTGGTCTTGAAAATATGTTGTTTCTGCACCTGGTTTAAGGGAAAAAAAAAAATCACAATCTGTCAATCTTTTCTTCAAAAAAAGATTTAAAATCTGTTTCCAAATTTACACAGTTTTAGCTGCACAGGAGATGGTTTCCTACAGACATGTAGCCAACAGGGCTGGAAATAGCAAAACATTTTCAGCTCCAAGCCAGCTCAAGGGGAGGCTGAAAGCTCCCCGCTCTCCTTGCCACGGAGTTGTCCACAGGCTCAACAAATTGCTTGACCTGCACTTTCCATGGGTGCACCGAGCTCCTCGGGTCTTTCCAGTACCGGACTCGAGTCAGGGAAGTTGCAGAAGGGCCGCGTGCCCGCAGCTCCCGTGCGAGTCCGCCCCAGGAGCCCCGGCTCCCTCCACGCTCGCTCGGGGCAGACCGCGGCTCACAGCCCAAATGGCACTCGCCCAGGTGACCTCAGCAGAACTAATCGACCACTGTTGCAGCTTCGCTGACAATTCACTGGAGCCAATTCGCAACCCAACTTTGTTTGACTTTGCACCTTTGGCCTCCCCCGTGCCCCTCTTGCGGGTTTGCAGGTGTATCCGAGCCCGGCTGCCAGCCTTGCGTTCCCACCAGGGAGGTCCATGCTTGCTTTCGGATGAAATCTATCTACCGGGGCTCTGTTTTTGCTACGCAGGAGCTCACGCGCAGGGAGTAGCGAAGTAAGGACTAGTGGGTGCAAAACACACGGGAGGTCCATGCTTGCTTTCGGATGAAATCTATCTACCGGGGCTCTGTTTTTGCTACGCAGGAGCTCACGCGCAGGGAGTAGCGAAGTAAGGACTAGTGGGTGCAAAACACACCAGCTACAGAGCAGGCAATGATTTTTTTCATGTTGGCGCAGGTAGAAAAGTGCTGGACGTTTCCCAGCCACGTGACTTCTGTCACGGTATTGCTAGGCGGTGCCGTTTGGCAGCAGCAGCAGAGCCTGGGTGCTGTTTTTGGACCTGAACCTCCCCAACGCTGCTGCAGCAATGCCTTCAGCTCCTCTGGCCAGGGCCACGTAGTGCTTTGAACGACAACGTTTAAACACACTCCGTGCTTTTAATGAGTCCAAAGTCAAAATGCCATTTTATTAAAAATAATTAAAGTAACTGCTGTTTGGTCTCTGGCTGGTTTTAAAATGGCTTAGTCCATCCTCCTGAGCTCTCGGAGCGACTATATCTCTTGGGGCATGAAACACATAAGCATAGCATCACCACCTTCCTTAACTTCCTCCTTCGTTTTTCCAGCACCGGTCACAGCATTAAGATTACAGCTGTTACGTGAGCAGCCAGTATCTAATTCGTGATTTTTTTTTTTAAAAAAAGAAAATTATAACGCTACGCTTTTCTGCGATAAGCTGCGAGCAAAATTTCTAGAAACACTTTGCCACCATCACGCCTCGCCAGCTGACCCGTGCCGTCTGCTGCAACACCTCGCGTGGCTTGCTGCATGGTTTCGGGGGTGCCCCCACCTCAACCGACAAAGTCACATGTGTTTCAGTAGGGGAGAGGGCCCCCAAAGGGCCCTTTTTCTACTCACCAATCACTTTCCATGGCTGCAGTGGGAAATCCTGACCAGCGAGCTCAGAGGCGGCGGGTTCCCCAAACGCAGGCACACCAGCAGCAGCTACGACCATCTCGCGGCGAGCGTCTTTCCCTTGGGGAACCAGGCTAAACACAGCGTCCTGCTGAGCGCTACTCCGTCACGGGCTCATTAGAGATGCTTTTCCTTGCATAGGAGCTCCAGGGTATTCAGAAACACGTGAAACAGGAATAAAAACAACCATGAAACAGCTAGCACGTATGTACAGAGCATAGTGTCTTTAGTTTATACTGGATTGAATTATTTTTTTTAAACCAAAAAAAATTTGCACAAATTTAGGACAGGATTTCCCACCCACACCCCCAAATAAGTGTATATTTAAAAAAAAAAAAACACACATCAAAATCCCACAGACAGCTATCAGTGTCTTAGAAAGAAGGGAACTTCCAGCCACAGTGGGCAAAGCAAGTGCACATTTCCAGTCCGTTTCCCGCAGTAGGGAAGAAACGGCCGCGCTCCAGGCACGCCAGCCCCTCCGTGAATAGGGCTGGTACAAGTCACCTTCTCGACCTCGCTGCCTCTGCGGCAAAACACGCTGCACAGGTGTGAAACCTGCAGCTCTACATACAGACACGTGCATATATATCTTACAATAATATACATGTAAAAACGTGTGAGCATATTTGTATATATATACACACAGACACATGGCAAGTGCTAGAACTTACCTGCTTTTTTTTTTTTAAAATGCAGTTCTGGTGGTTACAAATGACTCAAGGTAAAAGGAGGGGAAAAGAGGATTTGAGCCCTTTCCTGTTTCTTTATTATGTACAGGCTGCTCCTGTCCATACTCATCACTTTAAATTAAAATTTGGTGTGGGAAAGAGGAACACCTGTGGCTGTTGATCACAATGCTAAAGCTTTAACAAGGATATCTTTTCTCCTACTAGACTTTAGAGTTAATGAAGTTTAAAGCAGGTAACCCACACTGATCAAATACAGTCTATTATTTGCTGAATCTCCTTTTTCTTTTTTGTTTCGATATAGCGGAATTCATTAGTCCTCCAGCCACCACAGCGTGGTGGAAAAGGGGTGAATAAGACCTGAACATCCACTGTTTAAAAACTTAAACAAAAAAACCCCAAACCAAAAGCCTTTCTTCCAGTTTCCAAGCAAAACTTTAGAGATTCCTTTTATATAAATACTCCACTCCTTATTTCATTGCTTAAGCGCGTCCTTAAGCTTTTTCCCCCCCCGCCTCTGCTTGCATTATTCCTTGTGAGGGACAGGACTGCTCTCACATTAGCCAGTTGCTGTGATAAACAACAGCCTGAGAGCTACTCCAACTGGCAGGTTCCTCTTCCTCGGAGGGATCGACGCAGTCGTCCCCGTCCTCGCAGCGAAGGCATGCCTCTGCGACAGGCGCGTGCCAGCTGCGCGGGGAACATCTCTTCCCAGCACTGAGGGAATCACTGACAACTGCCCGTTACTCAAACGCCCGAGCAATCCAGACAGCCTCGTGCATTGCAGAAAAAGAGAAGGAACGACAGCCCTTTGCAAGAAATTCACTTTTATTGAAACCACCATGAGTCACATGAGCTGCCAGCTGGCTTGTGGAATAACAGCAGCATTAGCCTTGACAGTAACAGCTAGAGCTCACAGTGGAGACTGAGCATATCACTCTCCAGAGACAAAGATATAAGATATCTAACTGAATCTTTTCCTGCTGCTAGAAAGTGGGTATGTTTGCAAGGGCAGCTGCTAGGGTAAGCATATCACTAAATCCCTGCTAGACAGAGGCATGTTGGTGACTGCCAGGAGGTAGCCCAAGTAACACTTCTGAGCAGGTTGAACTTGATCCTGCTTCCAGCAAAGTCAGCGGTGAAACTCTGCTCGTTCCAAGGGGGCAGGATTAGGAGCGACAGTCCTTTCTCCCTTAATGCAGTTCTTCCCCATGCAAGATATTTGCAACCTTGGTGAAATACTAACCAGATTAGGGAAGGTACTGTAGGCTGTATTGCTGCTTTTACACGTGTAGCAGTCCACACCTGAGGGCCAGAAGTTGCCCTGAACATCAGCATTGGGGTTTCCTCATTTATTTCAAAAGAGGATTGCCCCCTTACTATTGTTCATGGGTAAAAGCTGCAATGAAGGAGAGCTTCCGAAAGCTGCTGTTACTTCAGCCACCATTTCACATACATTTAGTTCCCGTTTGAAAGCCCTGCTGTAAACTATGACTATTGCAACTATGGTTCTCAGTTCAGAAGTGGCTCTGCCTCTCTGCAAGAAGGGCAAAGCATGACAGGAAGCCATCAGATTAGCTAGACTGAGAAGCTAAGTCCTTCAGTTGATTGAGACTTTTCCAATTTCTATTTAAACTTATTATTGATAAAAAGATGTAATGAGGATGTGGAGTTGGACACTGTATTGCTAACCTGGCTGGAGATCAGTCCCATTCTCTTATACGTTTTAAGCACAAATCCTGTCCATGTGTGATATCAAAGTCCTTTTGTATTTCACAGCATGGTAGGTTAATGAAGATAAATATGGAACTAAGGCAGTAAGTTGAACAAACCAGTATAAAATTGATGCAACACCAAGCTCCAGGAGAGCTTTGATCCTAAGAATCAAAAATGATGGTGTATAGCATTAAAAAGGAGAAGTGATAGAAGGATACATCCGTATTCTGGTTGTATGTTTTAAAATTCATGCATTACTTTTTTTTTATTCTAACTTCTAGCAAGAGCTCCTTAAGTCTGGTAATATTTGAAATTAGGGAAGAAATTGGGGGGGGGGGAAAAAACACGTCAATGCCTAGATACTTATATATGATTAGAAACCTGCTCAGAGTCAATAATGAAGAGTGCCCAGGTTGGAGAACACATTTCCCATTAGCAGTGCCACACTTAGTGTAAACATACTTGCTGACAACAAAAGATAGGGCCTGGGCTACGATCCAAAGCTATCTTCCTAGAAACGTTCCGTCTTTTGGCGTCACAAGAAACTGACAATTGCTCAGATGAGAGTGCAAGAGAAGTCTGAATCAAGCAGCCTGGTTTAGGCTGTGATTTTGGCTTGCTAGGCTTTTTTCTTTTTTTTCCTCCTCAAGCAGCTGTTTGTGTCCCGATTTCCGAGCTACAACCTGTCCTTCCCACGCTCCCAGCGAGGCAACCTGCATCCCTGAGCCCAGGTGTGCGCGTCCCTCAGTCCTCATCCGTTTTCTGAGAAGACGTGGTACTGCTACTCCATAAAGCGTCATCCTGAGTGATCAGCTTGCAATGCACAGCAGCTAGTAGTGCTGGAAAGGGAAAAAGGCAACTTGAACAACGGCGACCCGTCCCGCCTCCTGTCCCCAAGCAGCACCTTCTCGGGCGATTTTGCAGACAACTTCAGGCAGCTTCCTATGCCAAGAGCTGGCTCTACCTAGTGGGAAAGTCAGGTCAACAAATTTCTACCTTTCTCGCAGGGTGTATTTGCCTTTTCGGTCCAGGTTGTTACTGAAGTGGATGGAGAACCAGAGGAATGAAGTCAGAATCATTCCATAAACCTAAAAGCAAATAAATGAGAGGGAAACAGTTAAATACTGAACTGATTATGATGCTTCAGCTGCTTGAAAAAAAGATAATAAATATTGCCTGTTAGTCCACTTGGCATTTCTGAACTTGTTATGTATGAAAATGTCACACTTTTGTTAGAAGAGCTGTTTTTCAACAAAATGGCGCACACCGTAACTCCAGCATTACAGAAAGAAAAAGCATGCGGTTAAAGCATCTGATTAGAATTAGCACAGTACGGCTCAAACCCAGGCCTAAAAATACCAAAAATGAGAAGAAGCCAGGAAATTCAGATTTCAAATTCCTGCCGCAAAACATTCCTCTGTGCAAACAAACATATATCTTATAATAGCCTTTTGTAAACATAAAACGGAGGGAGGGGAATCTCATATATTGTTTGGGGCTACAAAGAAACATGCACGTGCACGATTCTGAAGCATCACCAAGACGGTACGCTTCCTTTGTATTGCAATATCCTGATTTGCTGACTGGTATATCACATTGCACAGCAGTGTCTGATGCCATATGGGAATTTACACAGGCAACTTATCAAAGGTAAGGCTGCTGCGGGAAGCGCGGTGAGGGCTGTAACGCCGCGCTCTTTTAAAAAGTTTGCCTTAATGTGAAAGTGCCTTTGAGTGCAGCATGATTTGGGCACATCTGTTAACGGCTCATTGTTAGCTGGAAGGACAGTGACATCAGAACAACCATACCAGTCATCACACGCTTCCTTCGCATCCTGCCATCACAATGGTAAATGTTTCGGTGAGATTTCCTCCAATGTGTACTTCAAAGACAGTCACGTTATCTGGCTATAGCATCAAGCTGTGAAAAAAATACGCTCCCACTTTTGTTTGAACACAGTGGAAGTGATATTTCTCCTATACCCAAGGAAAATTAGAAAGCAACACCAGATATTCATGGGTGACTTCGCATTATGCATCAGGTATGCCTCTAAGATTTTTCTGAGAAACAGCTCAGATGCATCTAAGTCTTTAGTATTGAGGCTTTATTGAATTTTAGTGTATGTACATAACTCTGTAAGTAGAAATATGCTAGATCAGACTACTACATATAGCATTGCCTCATAGTTTTCCTCATTTACTACTAGCAGTATAAAAGAAATACAAGTTTCCATTCATCCGAGTCTTCTCACCTATCTGAGCTCCATAGATCAGCCATGCTACTCTTATGCTATGTTTAAACACAGTGATTCCTCTGCAGATACCCACCTCTATCTTCAGACATAGCAACTCGAGAGGAGCAACTCAGACCCGTTATTCCTGCCAACATTTTCTAATGGGAACGGGATAAAAGACAAAGCGCTGTTTGGTGAAGGACTTAGCAGATGGGAATCATTGGCTCAAGGCTTTCCGTTGCTTTCACACAGCATTTATAGAGTTAGGACAACCTTTTGGGAGCATTAGCCTGCAGGATTAAGGGTAAAGCTACCACTCTTAGCTACGCTGCATGCTATGCCAAGATAGACAGAAGTAATTAGAAGGAAAAGAGACACCCTCTAAATACACATTTAGTCAGAAAAATTTGGCCCAGAGATACTACAGCAGGAAAAAGAACCCCTACCTTCACGTTTAAAACACAAGTCTCCTGGGTAGTATTCTTTTCTGGCATGTTTTACTACACACATAGGGCCCTTGTAGACAGGTAATTAAAATGTGATACACATCTGCCAAGTAGCAGGTAGACATAAAAAAAAAAGCGACTTGTTTTGAGTGTTGCTCTCCAGCTCTTGAACAAACTGCCCACATGGAGCTCTCTCGCTGACTTCTGCATTAAAGTAAATGCTCCTATTGCCCTTTCCACCCTCACTCCCCCCAGAAATAAGCAAATTCAGTAAAGAATGAGTGATTCCCTTTCTACCTGGGCTAGCCTCTGAAAATAACCCTCTGCAAGATCCTACATCAAAGGTATTGCCTGGGAGCCAAGACAACATGCTCTGCTCTTCCTTGTAGCCTGCTCCTTACAAGCCCATACTTCACCCACCAGCTGCCTAAGAGACATCTGTGCTGGGTTCGTTGACATTCATTAATAGCAAGGGACCTTTCCTTTCTGTGCAGCTCTCCACTGTTAGTGCTCATTAGCTTTCCAGGCCTTGGAGCTACTGCTGCGTGGAGAGGCTTCAGTCTTAGCTTGGAGGCAGCCTGTTTGCGTTAGGTAAGAGGAGGCACCGCGTTTCCTGGAAGCCTGGGCTTTTCTGCATCTCCTTTTCCACAATTGCTACTGACTTTTTATCTGATCCACAAGCATCTGTGTCAAGTGACACGGCCTCCCTTGCTTGCAGGACAAAACCCACATGAATGAAATTCAAATGCTGCTGCAACCCGCTCCCTTGCTGCTCTCCCTTCCCATCCGTCATGCCTAGTTTTGGCAGAAAGAGTCCAAAGAGTCTATTTCTGCAGAAAAATCCCTCCAGCTGCCACAAGACAGGCAATGACTTTTTCCTAATTTCCATGACCAAGTCCACCACTGTTTATTTCTCTGCCACTGAACTCCGTGCTCTGAAACCATCCGAGTCACACACCCAAATTCTAGGCTCCTGAGGCTAATTTAGCACATGACTCTCTCGCCTGCAGTCTGCCTCTCCGGGCTAGAAAAGCAAAGAATAAGCATAGCTACCATGAAACAGATGGTGACAGCCAGGAGCGCAGAGACAAAGTCCATGTGCTTCTTCAGGAAGTCCCGGATCTCTTGGAGGCAATCCTGAGATGAGAGAGACGCTCTGTGAGGGAACAGCAGCATCACGGGGAATTCATCCTCCACTGCCTGACTGTGCTTAATGTGACCTCAAGAAAAAAAAGCACTTTCAGGCCCCTAATCTCTCTCCAGAACTCTCTATCACAGAGACGACATTTGTTCGGAGGACAGAAAAGGGAGCGAGGTATTTTTCACTGTTGGTTGAGGAGCAAGGCAACAACAAGCAGCACCCTCCTCCGTATCATCCCCTGCGTCATGCGACTTTTGGTACCATGACATGGCTATGAAGTGGGACAGAAACAGAGGCAAGAGGGGTCTTGCAGAATTGGGCTGGTCCATTTGCAGACTGGAGGGACATCTTCACTCCTTTGCTCTGCAGCTTAGGAAGCTAAAAGTCTATACTATATCTTCCATTGCTAAAATATGCCTTTTTTTTAGTATGGTGCATTTCAGACTGTGTTGAGGGCAGGAAGCACATGCACAGGTAAATATGCTCATGCACAAACATTTCTTCTAGTGGAAAATGGAAGGAGTGAAACGAAAACATGGAAGAGCAACACAATACGATGCAACATATGTTCTTCAAAGCTAGCTCAATTTTGCAGGTTGTTGTGAACATTAACGGGTATTAGTTTTAAGCTGCTAGCGGCCCCCCTGAAGTCCAGTGGGGCTTCCAAGACAAACATTAAGTCAAGAGAACCATTCAAAAATGTAAAAGCATGGCCTTGATCAAGCATTTTGCTGAGCTGGGTAAGAGCATTTGCGGCCCTACACCATGAATGCCAAAGAGTAAGTGTGTTGCAACCACCAAATCCTGTGGTTTCCCAGGCTGCAAAATGCATCTTCACATTTACCTCCCCCAGCTAGTAACTGGAGGAAGTTCAAACCATTAGAAGTAGTGAACCGAGTTACATGCACAGCAGCCAAGTTTGTTTTTCTCTTCCTTCCTGCTATTTGATCTGAATTCTACCCTGTTTCAATAATTTGTTTTCCAGGAGACAGTGTTTTGAAATGCTACCCTGCAGGCTGACATGTGCTTAAACATTAGCGCTTGACACCTTTGCATAACAAGGATGTTTTTGTATATCTGTAGCAACACGGTTTTGTTTTTCCTAGACTATACATGTTGAAGCCAGCAGCTTTAACTACTTCAATTCATTTAGCTACTCCAATGAAAGAGCCATATTCTGAGCAAATCTGTTGTATAAAGTCTACGTTATAACTTCAATGCAGAGAATACTGGTGGCTTCTCCGTCACTTTACTGGGATACTGCAAAAAAGAGGAATTAAATGCACTTGAAGCTACTGCTCGACATAATAATCCTTATTTATCAGTTTCTCTTTTTGCTTCAAGTACCTATTCAATACCCTTGGAAAAGGGGTTTCAATCATCATATACGCCTCCAGCATTTCACTGTTAGGGGAATACCTTTTTCAGTCTCAGAAATTAGTATCAAATGGAAAGTCCAGCAGGTTTTTGAGATCAGACACATGCCTGTGATATCACATAATCTCTGCACGTGCAGAAAGTAAGAAGGAAGGACTGACTTTCTCCCTACCTCTTCTGCTGTCTCGGCATGGCCTAGTGGGCACGTCTCACGTTCAATGTCTCCCGTCTCTCCGAAGGGAGAGTGCTTCCCACAGCACAGGAACTGAAAGAGAGCAACCCCTTGGTTAGGTGATGGTCTGAGCACTTCCTTTCCCAGCCTGTAGCCAGCCGTCAGTGACAGGAGACCCTTCACTTCTGCCAGGATTTAAAACAAACAAACAAACAAAAAAAAACCTAGGCTCTACAGAGCAAATAATGCAAGTACCCGACTCTCAATCAGAGCAATAGAAGTTGGATTCAGAAGAGTTGAATGGTCAGGACTCAGCACCTCTCCCGGGTGAGCTCTAAAAAAAAAAAAACCCCAGCAATGCAGAAGCTCCTATTTCCAGCACTTGCTGTGGGCTGGGGTAGGGGGAGTCCAGCAACACCCACTGTGAAGCTGGCTTCTTAGAGCCGTGCTTTTGGGGTGAGCTGGCCTGCCTGTAGCTCTAATGGAGAGGTGGAAGAGAAAAAAAAAGAAAAGGAAGGGAAAAAAGAGGAGGACTGCTTATCCATCTATTAAAGGGGCTAAAGCAAGCAACTGGTGAAGCTGGGTACCCTGCCTAGTTCTCCTTTCCAAAGGAGGACTGAGGTGTACTAATAACCCCAGGCCTCAATTTCCCCACAAGAAGCACCAACACTCCTGGCTGTATCTCTGAGAGGCCACTGATGTCATTAGAATGAAAAATATTTGCTCTTAACTGCATTTTGAAAAGCACAGATGAAAGCAGCTTTGGAAAGCACTTATTGCATTGAATTAAGAAAACAGAGACAGAGAGAGGAAAAAAAAAAAGGGATTTGTGTGGGAGGAGTCTGGAAACAAGTGAGCAAATCTGACCTTTCCTTCCAGTCCTGCTGCATGACATGAGCTCACTACCCAAACAGGCCCTGCTGTGCAGGGAGAGGACATTTCCGTTACTCAGCTGTCTGTGGAGGACTCAGGAGTCTTTCGCCACAGGAGACATCCTCGCTCATCTCGTGCCATTTCATCTTGCAATCTTTGAGGGGAAACTTCCTCCCTGTGCTCTGGGCCATCACCCTGACCCACCTACTGCACTATGGAGAACTTCCCTCTACAAGACAACATCCTCAGTTTATCGTTCTCAGGAGCTTGCTAGCAGCAAAACATTGCAAAAATCATGTATTCTCTGGTCCTCATCAGCAATATGCTCAAAGGTAAACAGAGATCATTAAGTCTGAATATTTCTGCTGGACCATGTAGAATTTCAACTTCACCCTTTTCCTACACCTGACTGGGGAAATCAGAGATGTGTATGTCCACTTTATCACACCACAGATACAGAGCAACGCAGCATGGCAAAGGGCCTGCTGAGACAGACAATATCAGCTACGGTGCAAAAGCTTTGAAGAGCTTATACCAAAGCGACACACAAATAGATGATCCTCGCCTGCTGTTGATAATCCTCTTGGTCTAACCTGGGAAAAGAAGTTTAGAAAGGGAAAAGCAGACTTGATAGCAAGCTGGGGTCTCCTGCTCCCAAGGAGAAAACAGCATTGCAGCATTTGTGAAACAGAACACGGGCTTGAACCGCAACCTACTGAAGCCAACAGAAAGATACTCCAGAGCAAATAAGCTCCAAACTCCAAAGCTAAGACAACTTACTGTTTCGTGGATGGCAGTCAGTTCCTGTCTCCTGAAGCTGGAGGCATTCTTCCTCGCCTCCTCATACACAAAGTCGTACACATCCATCATGCTGTCTTCCACCTGCGACGAAAGCAGAGATCTGTACCCACAAAACAGTGGCCACTTGCGGTAGTGAAACGCAGTCCTCTTGCGTCCCACCACAAGCTCTTCCAGGTAAAGGGAGACAAGTCACGCAGGAGAGGAGACTACCACAGTGCTATTAAACTACCACCATGCAGAAGTTGGAGCTGGCATAAGATCCACCATGCTTCAAGGGGTGCACACGACTCAGAGTCCCACGAGAGAGCCCATGATGCTACACAAGGGCTGCGTGTGTACCACCTTGTGCCACCCACAGACCTTTTGGCATCGTACTGGGATCTCACCAGCTGACAGCAGGAATAGGGCCAGCGCTTTTGACCAAGTTTTGGATTTAGATCAAAGTAGTACTTGGGTGACCCACGTGCCTCTGACTCCCTTAGCAAGGCAGGGACAACATCATTTCTCTCTCCTGCCAAGGTACTGTGAAGACAGGCATCTGCCACTGTGAGATGCCAAAATACAAAGGTAACAGTGCCTCAGATGGACAGCATTTTCCCAGCGAGAGCAGAGCTCCTACAGAATAAAGGGCCAAGTAAGTAACAGTGATCCGGTGGTAAATCAAATTCTAAGTATTTACCAAAAACGTGAGAACTCGCAGCTTGATAAATCCCAGCCAACTATTGCTCAGGTTTCAAAGGGGTGAAGGGAAGTAGTAACAACTGTCTTCAGCATCAGGTACCAAAAAGAAAAAAAATTTCTTCTGTTTTCACTCTCTTTCTTACCAATATTGATCTGAGCAGGTCTAAAGGTGATACTTGGCTTTTAGAACAGAAAAAAATCAATCCATAAGACAGAGTGGGTGGCAGCGTGGGGAGGAACAAGTGCTCTTGGAGCAAACCCATCTCTCAGCAAGGCTTTTCAGATAAGTCTTAAGGGGCTGCACTTAGAAATTATTCTAGTGAAAAAAAGAAAAAGTGTGCCATCTTCTTAACAGCTTGGAAGTGAAACACAGGTCATTATAGCCATTACTGTAACATTATTCTATCTTGCCCAGCTATCTCAAATGCAGGGAACTAACAGAGGTTAATAATAACCAAGAAGGGTAGAGAGGAGGGGGACTGAAAAGACTACTTGAATTTTACTTTTCTCCATGTCAGCGGGAATAAACAACAAGTTTCAAGTATTACGTCAGAAGATTTTCCAAAGCTGGAATAAAAGTGGTTTTGTGTTTGGTTTAAGTGGTACGACGAGAGGCTTTTTAGGCGGATTCATAGTCTAGCAGTGACTTCACATGCAGAAGGCAGAGATGGAGGGCGAGAAGGCACGCAATGTGACGGTGCGGGTGTCCGACACGTACGCGTTCACCAGAGCTACCAGGTGGCAAGCCGCAATCCCCCTGACTGATGCACCGACTCTTCTCTGCAGCAAAGCCATCATCTCCCTGGGAGGCTTTGCCACTCTTTACAGCGCAAAGAAGTTACACAGCAGGTGAGGCAGGAGCGACCTAGCAGCTCATTAACAAGCGGTCTGATGAAGGATGAGGTGCAGAACCGCCAGGAGGATATTCTGATCCAAGGAAAAAAAGTCTATCATACCACGGTCTGTGATGTTAAGCTGTCCTGTACAGGTGAGGAGAAAGGCTGGTCATTTTATAACCCCCGATGCCCATGTCTATCAGCAACAGGAATAGCCAGCAGGAAAGTAAGACTAGCAGACTCATAGACAGTCCTTCCTCTGCTCTGATCAGACTTTAAACATGAGCAAAAAACAAAATATCTGAACTTCTCTAATGTCTTCTAGGCCATGAAGCAGGTTTTCCCAACAACAGCAATTAAAAAAAATGGGTTCAATAAGAAAATTTTTCATTTGCACTGAAGAACTGGATTGAGAATAATGAAAAAAGAATTTTTTGACCTCCTCTTTTGGTCCTGTTTTTCTGAGAAAGGAGAAGGAACACAAAGCAGCCCACTTCCTAATGCGAGAGATTAGCTTCTTCTGAATAGCCCAACTCCAATGTAAGATACAGGAATACAACTATTCAGTGTTGTCACTACATATGTACAGATCTAGTTGCTCATGCACAATTTTTTTCTTACTTATCATTAGTTCAGGATGCTTCATTTCCCTCAAAAAGGCCTTAATTTGGAGCAGGTTTTTTTAAAGAGGGTTCAAGTGACATGAAGGCACAGGCAAGTCGATTCCCATTTATGGTTTGCCTGGATAGTAAAACTTGGTCCAGCTACTGAGGTCCATCCCAAAACCCCAGGTGCTCATGCTGCATGCGAATAGCTGGAGAGGGGAGTGTGAGCTGTACAGATGTGCACAGCTGTTGGCCAGTGCCCACAGCAGCTGCCACACGACTGACAGTGGCACGAAACAGCAAGGGGATCTCGGCCCTGCTGGATGCGGAGAGGGATGTTTGCTCCTTGCTTTGACAGCAAGGATTATCGCTTTCAGCTATCCACCAATTGACAGATAAGCTAACGCGCGGCAACAGAAACCTGGAGAAAGATGGAAGGACTTATGTACCTGGGCTTCAGCCAGCAGAAATCTGTGGGAAGGTCCCTCTCCAAAAACACTGGAAACCAGGGAGACAGACACTCACGCCGAGTACTGCGGATAAAGTTACTAGTGTTATTTTAACTATAAAGCTGTCCTTGACTCAACAATACTTAAAGCCGTTAGCCAGAAAGCGGCTGACGTGGGATGACCTGTCCATCTCGGCTCTAGGTTCAGTCCCCTACCTGAGGGGTGCTAACGCTGCCTCTGCTCCTTGTTGCTTACCTGCCCCCTCATCTTTGCTCTTCTAAATAACCTTTCGACTCTCGGGATAAAGCTTACAATTTCCTTGGGAATTACGTTACTTGGCATTCTGCTATCTCCTGAAATAATAGTTTTGTTGCTTTTAATCCCTCCCTCTCTCTGTCATCTGTATATACCACACACTATTATATAGCGTACTATGTACTATACACCATGTATTATGTACGGCGAGCGATGTGTGATACTTCACAGAATGCAAGAGGACAAAAATCTATTTCCAAAGGAGCTTATGATCTAGATACCTTGGAGTAACATTAGACATGGCCTGTATAAAGGAAGAGAGAGGAAAGGAAAGAGTTCAAGGAACAGGGTTTACATAATAAAGCTATAGCAAAAATAAATAAGTAATTCAACAGTAGGAAACAGTAAGGGAAGACTATGAGCAGCTACTTCACCATCATCTCTAAAACAGTGATGGTGATGACAGTAGGAGAAATGTAATCTCCAGATACAAAATGACTACTACAGACTGGGATTACATGCTGTTTTCTGAGCGCACTTGTGAGCGGGTTTCTTAGTTACTTACTGATGTTTCATTTTGCAAAGCAGCCTCCAAGAACTGAGAGCACAAAGGATTAAATCGGAAGTGTTTTACAGTAATAATTTCCTCTTAAAGTGCATGTCTAGGCAAGCCTAAGAGTACAATTTGCTGATTAGTTGTTCTCAGCATTTGTATCTAGCATTTGTATCCAGCTATTATCTGAATATGCTATTCAGATCTTAGTAGGGGAGTATTCAGATCCTGGTAAAGGAATCTCAAACCATAAAGTTAAAAAAAGTGCACTGATTGTAGTTCCTCCACATCATCTTTCCGATTTTTCCTAGAATTGTGCAATTTCAGGAGAAAATTGCACATCCTCATACAACGTGCCAGCTTGTTTTCAAAGATTACTGCAGAGAGCTTTCTAATTTAAATATTTCAGAGGCAGATAGAAAGCACTAAATCTCAGTATTTATCACTGGCTGTTTCCTTCCATACAGGAGACTGCCACAGAGCATATGAGAGTTATAGCTTAACAACAGGAGACATATCAGTGCAAAAAACTGCATTAATGCACCACCACCTTCACAACTTTTCTGCTGAGGATGGTGTACTTGCAACCAGAGCTGTGACCAGGCTCTGGAACAGCAATCATGCATGGCAATGTCTATCCAGACAAAAACAGCATGCCAACTCATTCATGTCTAACAGTGTAACAAAGTCTGAAAACACGAGACAGTCCCCAGTTTCATAACCTAACCTTACTTGCATCAGGGTACATTTTGTCCAGAAGACACACATTCACTCCTGTATTTCCCTTTGATTTGGGACATAACCCAGTGGAAAACTGGAGTTCCTCACTGTTTTGTGCTAAATTGCTGTCCCCAAGAGACCGACATCGCCCACTCCACTAAAGAGTAACTTTCAGTCCATTCCCTTAGAATAATTGTCTCCCTCCCTTTTTATGCCAGGTGTTGGAAGAAAAAAAAAAAATCAGGGTGCTTGCTCTCACAGTTAAGCAACAGGATGACTTTTAAATTTCTGAGTGGTTATGCTGTTACTGTTAATGACATGTTTTAAGGAAAACTACAGATGTGTCCCATCGCCTAGCTTGGACAGCAGTTAGCACATAATAGACTGATACAGCTGGAGAAGAGGAAGAGTGTGGCTGGGCTTCTTCAGAAAAGGTCTTAAACTTCCCCCCTACATATTAGCATAAATATGGTCAAGTAGAATTTTTTTCCCTGTTCCTAGCAACAAGCTGCTGATTTTGTGCATGATTCAGAACCGTTCAGTCTGCAAACTGTGACCCATTGCTGGGGGAGCGCTTCTGGACAAAGCTCTCTCCCTTGGAACAAGAACGTGCCTCCAATCCTTGTCTCTAAGAAAAACACTGAAAGCTAAAGAAAAAGCGTCAGGGGGGCTTTGGCTTGAGAGTGCAAGAATTACCATCTCCCATTTCCACCTATTCCCTAATGAAACATTCATTTAGTGATGATAGATGGGTTAGGGGATACAAGTGGAATATCACCACGATCGATGCAACTGACTCAATGTAGTAGCATCTTTCACTAAAAGGGAAAGGAAGAAAAAAAAAAGGATTCTGTCATTTATCATCCTCCAAGTCCTTTACCCCCCAAGAAACAGAACATACAATTATAAGGCAGCATTTGCTTTGCCTAAACCATTAGCGCTCATGTCCTTGGCTATCGGAAACTGAAACAAATTTCATTCT